TTGGGAAGGGGCGCCGCCAGGAGCGCCGGCCCCCCTCATGCAGCCGCCCGAGTACTCTGTAGAGAGCCTTAGGCGGCTGCAGCTTTGCCCGGGTGGGTGCGTCCATGAGGGTGCACCGCCCGGGCGCAGCATGAGGAGAGGGGCTGACAGGAGGGAAGTGCTCAGCGCTCCCTCCTGTCACTCCCTCACTGTAGCGTGGCCGAGCCCTGTACGGTCCGCGCGTACAGGGAGCATCTGTCTCCTGTACCCGTCCGGACTAACACTGCACTTCCTTTTATTCCGGCCGGGTAAAGGAAACAAAAGCTCCCTGTACCCGCGGACCATACAGAGCTCGGCAACGCTACAATAGAGGTAGGGGAGGGGGGAGAAGAAATTGATGGGGGGAGAAAGAAATTGACAGGTAGGGGGAGAAAGGCTACTTGACAGGGGAGGGGGGGGAGAAATAAATTGACAGGGGGGAGAAAGAAATTGACAGGGGGGAGAAAGAAATTGACAGGGGGAGAAAGAAATTGACAGGGGGGGGAAGAAATTGAGAAGGGGGAGAAATAAATTGACAGGAGGGGGGAGAGAAATAAATTGACAGGGAGGTGAGAGTGACAGGGGAGGGAGGGGGAATGAGAGTGGGGAGGAGGAGGGAAGAAGAGAGTGACAATGGGGGGAGAAGAGAGTGACAACGGGGGAGAAGAGAGTGACAAGGGAGGGGGAGAAGAGAGTGACATGGGAGGGGGAGAAGAGAGGGACAAGGGGGGGAGAAGAGAGTGACAAGGGAGGGAGAGGGGGGAAAAGAGAGTGACAAGGGAGGGGGAGAAATTGACATCCATCACACACACACACACAATCACACACAATCACACACAATGCACCCCTTACACACAAAGACAATGCACCCCTTGCACACAGAAAAACACACAATGCATTACACACACAGACACACACACACAAGCAATGCAACTCTTGCACTCAATGCACCCCTTACTGACGCACACACTGCATCCCGTACATACGCAGAAAAACACCTTGTAGCCCTTACACATACAAACACAGATTTACACAATGCATTCCTTACACACATATCAGGACATCCCCTACACACTCCACCCATAGGCGTGCGTAGCCTATTGCATTAGGGTGTGCACCCTAAAGCACACGCACACGCCGTGTATATATATATATATATATACACACACATATATATATATATATATACACGCACACACACACACACACACACTGCTGTGTGTGTGTGTGTGTGCTGTGTGAGGGTGCTGGTAGTGTGCTATGTGGGTGTTTGTGTGTGTGTGCGCTTGTGAGGGTGCTGTTAATGTACAGTGTGTGAGGGTGCTGTTTGTGTGTGAGGGTACTGGTAGTGTGCTGTGTGTGTGTTTGTTAGGGTCCTGTTAGTGTGCTGTGTGAGGGTGCTGTTTTTGTGCTATGTGAGTTTGTGAGGGTACTTTATGTGTGTGGGTGCTGTGTGTGTGTGTGGGTGCTGTGTGTGGGTGCTGTGTTTGTGGGTGCTGTGTGTGTGGGTGATGTGTGTTCTGTTTGTGTGTTGTATGTGTGTGTGCTGTTTGTGTGTGTGTGCTGTATGTGTGTGTTGTATGTGTGTGTTGTATGTGTGTGTGCTGTTTGTGTGTGTGTGTGCTGTATGTGTGTGTGCTGTATGTGTGTGTGTGCTGTATGTGTGTGTGTGCTGTATTTTTGGGTGATTTGTGGGGGTGGAGGTGGGGGCAGATTAGTTAATAAATATCCCCACTCCCTTCTTACCTTATGTAGGGAAGGGGGACCGTGCTGCTGCCTTCTTTTCTGCCTTCCCTGGTGGTCCTAGTGGTGAGAGTGAACTCTAGCCTGCAGGGCTAGAGTTCACTCTCGCGAGATCTGAGCGTTGCCGCGGTAACCGTGGCAACGCTCAGATCTTGCGAGAGCAACCCGGCGGAGCTGCTGGCAAGAGCTCCCTAGGTCCTCTCCTGCCTCCCTCCCTGCCTGTGGGTCGGTGGGGAGGGATGCTGAGAGCAGAGTTGGTGCTCGGATAGCGCCAGCTATGCATGAGCCGACAGGGGAGATCCTGAGATCTCCCCTACCGTTCTCACTCCATAAGCGTGCCCCTGTGAACAAACTCATTGGTGGAACATGAAGGTGGACCCTGGGACCCAGACCTTGAGCTGTGTAAAGGGCCCCAAAAAAATGGAGCTGCTTCCCGTTCTCCCAGAACATTAATTTTTGTGACCACAGTTACAAACAGCCTCCAGAGATCCTGTTCTACACCAGACCAGTGGAGCCAGACTGCAGCTAGAGCTCATCATCATCCTCATCTGGTTGTAAGTAGGCAATTTAGTATATTATTTGTGGCACTAATCTCTAATTTACCTCACATTAAAGAAACACTATAGTCCCCAGGACCACTGCAGCTTAATGTAGTGGTTCTGGTGTCTCTAGCCTGTCCCTGCAGGCCTTTTTATGTAAACATGGCGGCACTGCAGCACTGGCGTTAGTTAACATGGCAGGTCATATGGGTGGGGCATTGTGATGTCACGTGGGGGGGCGGCAAACTTTACTTTTGCCTAGGGCGGCAAAAATCCTTGCACCGGCCTGCCTCCCCCTCCGCGCAGGAGCCTCGGGTGTCACGTGACTACCCGGCGCTCAGTCTGACACTGCACCCGCCGGATGTCCAGAGGTCCCCCTGCTATGTCAGGTAAAAGGGGGGGGGAGACAACAGTTTGTAGGGGGGAGAGCAGAGCAGGTCACCTCTGAAGAGAAAAAAAAACAGCTGCCTGAGCATTTTTAGTGTTAATTAATGGAAGGGTTAAAGAAGGGGGGGGAGGGAAGGTAGAAAAATGAATTTAAGCTGGTTAGGGGCTTCTATTAATATAAGGGTTAAAGAAGGGGGAGGTAGAAAAATGAATGTAAGTGGTTAGGGGGGCTTCTAATATGGATGGGGGAAAGGGGTAGGTAGAAAAATAATTGGAAGGGGTTATGGGGGCTACTAATATGGATGGGGGAGAGGGGTAGGTAGAAAAATAACTGGAAAGTGTTAGGGGGGCTACTAATAAAGATAGGGGCAGAAGGGTAGGTAGAAAAATAATTGGAAGGGTTTAGGGGGCTACTAATATGGATGGGAGGAGGGGGAAGGTAGAAAAATAATTGGAAGGGGTTAAGGGAGTACTAATATGAATGGAAGGGGTAGGCTGGGTTCTAATATGCATGGAAGGGGTTAGGTGGGTACTAATATGCATGGAAGGGGTAGGGGGGTTAATATGCATGGAAGTATAGGTTGGGTTCTTATGTGCATGGAAGGGGTAGGTGGGGTTCTAATATAAATGGAAGGGGTAGAGACGGGTAGTCAAATGTATGGAATGCACTTCTGAAAGTGTCACTGAATGGCAGTTAGGAAATGTGGTCACCCTAAGTCAGTATTACACAATCTGTATATGTATAAAAAAATATAAAAAGTAATCTGCAAAGTACAAAATGTTTGTGTTATATGTCGTGCTAAAAATTAAGCTAGGAATGTGCATATTTTTTTATTTTTTTTAAATAATTTTTAGAATAATGATACAAACATTTTATTTCTTACATTTGTGATGATTCTTTTCCCCCCCTCAATGTTCAAGGGACACTATAGTCACCAGAACCACAACAGCTAAACGTAGTAGTTCTGGTGTCTATAGCATGTCTTTGCAGGCTTTTTAATGTAAGCACTGCCATTTCGTAAAAAGGCAGTATTTACATTACTTCTGAGGAATACCTCTAGTGGACACTCAGATGGCCACTAGAGGTGCTTCCTAGTCGAGACATGAATGCCGCCCTATTAAGTATCTGTGCATGTGCAGCAAAGCTGCACATGCGCACCAGGGAGCAATGACGCTTTTGAGTAGAAGCGTTTTATTGCTCCCTGCTCGCACCCTCCTATTTTGTCATTTTGATGAAATAGGGGGCACGGCGTCAGGAGGATCCCGGGTAAGTAAAACCCCTTATCTGTAGTGACCCTTTAATGTTCTTATTTTATCATTTATATAGCGCCAGCAAATTCCGTAGCGCTGTACAATGGGATAAACAACACAAAATGTAATTGCCTACAAACGCTGAGTCTATACCTCTGTGATAGATAAGAACAGTCACACTCTTAGTCAACACCCTTCACTACTGCTATATGTCTTCACTTGCCCATACAGGAGAACACTTCAGCATGATTACATTTAAAATGCCTCCAAGTTATAAGTCGAGTTTGAGAGGATCTCTACCATTTTTGTTTCTATTTTTCCAAATAATTTTTCTTTTTATCTTTTTGTTTTTAATTTCTACACATTATGCAAGTGGTACCAAATATATCAAGCAATATCCAGGTAAGGTTTTGTATCTCCATTGTATCTCATTATTCAATTAAAGAAAATAGA